TTACTTTGTTTACTCTGTGTTTACTTTGTTTACTCTGTGTTTACTGTTTGTTTACTCTGTGTTTACTGTTTGTTTACTCTGTGTTTACTGTTTGTTTACTCTGTGTTTACTGTTTGTTTACTCTGTTTAATCTGTGTTTACTCTGTTTACTCTGTTTACGCTGTGTTTACTGCTTGTTTACTCTGTTTACGCTGTGTTTACTGCTTGTTTACTCTGTTTACTCTGTGTTTACTTTGTTTACTCTGTGTTTACTGCTTGTTTACTCTGTTTAATCTGTGTTTACTCTGTTTACTCTGTGTTTATTCTTTGTACTCTGTGTTTACTGCTTGTTTACGCTGTTTACGCTGTGTTTACTGCTTGTTTACTCTGTTTACTCTGTGTTTACTTTGTTTACTCTGTGTTTACTGCTTGTTTACTCTGTTTAATCTGTGTTTACTCTGTTTACGCTGTGTTTACTGCTTGTTTACTCTGTGTTTACTCTTTGTTTACTCTGTTTACTGTTAGTTTACTCTGTTTACTCTTTGTGTACTCTGTGTTTACTCTTTGTTTACTCTGTGTTTACTCTGATTCAGGACACAATGACTACATCTGCCCGGCAACCAATCAGTGCACCATCGACAAAAACCGCCGCAAGAGCTGCCAGGCCTGCCGCCTCCGCAAATGCTACGAAGTTGGCATGACCAAATGTGGTTAGCTTTTTATTACCAGCTAGCATTGCTACATTTAGCTTTTAGCTAGCATTGCAACATTTAGCTTTTAGCTAGCATTGCAACATTTAGCTTTTAGCTAGCATTGCAACATTTAGCTTTTAGCTAGCATTGCTACATTTAGCTTGTAGCTAGCATTTTGTTATGTTTTTGTGTGTAGCTTGTGTTTCTTTTCTTTCTGCAGGCCTTCGTAAAGAGCGTGGGAACTACCGGAGCCCTCTGGCCAGGCGGGTGACCCGTCTGTCCTCACAGGGCAGGATAAACAGACCAAAGATGCTAACTGGACCAGCGGAGGCCTCGCTGATGGAGCCGACCCCTCCGGTGATGCCCCCGGAGCAGCTGATCCAGAGAATAATGGAGGCGGAGCCACCGGAGATCTACCTCATGAAGGACATGAAGAGGCCGCTGACCGAGGCAGACGTGATGATGTCACTCACCAACCTGGCCGACAAGGAGCTGGTCCACATGATCAGCTGGGCCAAGAAGATTCCAGGTACCGTTAGGCTCATTTCACYCTGTCAGAACCAGAACCTTTGTCAAAGATTACACTATGGTGATTGTGTGAATGTTACACATCACAACTCAGATCCATTTCTCTTCAGAACGTGTTTCAGTAATTCATTTATCAGAACCTTCAGCTCTTTCAGAACATTTGGACCAGGACTTCTGGAATTTCACTGATTTAAACTTTGAGATGTTTAGTTTTTCAGCTGTTTTTTCACATTGAAAATGAACAGAGATGTGTTCAACATGTGTGCTTTTCTAGCCTGGTCCTTGTCTTCCTACAGCTCTGCTCAGTTCTGGTTTCCTTCTCTGCTCCTGCTGGGACTTCTCCCACAGACAAGGATTTCTCTGGCAGGTTTTTAGCCGGGCCAATCAGAGAACAGAACATCAATGTTCTGTGCAGTGTTCGGCTCAGTACTTTTCTCCTCTCAGTAGGGTTGTTTACAGCACGCAATTTCCGGTTAGCTTCTTAGCTTAGCCTCCTTCACAGTGACATACCAACTGATCCAATCATTTTAAACTTCAGAGGCCACGCCTCCAGGAAGAATCACTTCTCTGTAGCTGAGAGTCCAGACCCTCGTGTGAAGCAAAGTGAAGGACAGGGTCTGGTTTTTACCAGGCTAACACTTTTGTTCTGGTTCTTTTATTGAGCTACTTCATGCTAAACTTCTTTTAGCTGCTTTTTGATCTTTTCAAATGTTTTTGTGTTTTAGTTACTTTGTATGTAATTTCAGTAAATCTGAACTTTTCTTTCAGCTAGATTCACCTGTTTGTGATCATTTCAGCTTCTAACAGCTTAAATCAGCAAACATTTACTAAGTTTTTTGTGTTAAATTCAGCTGTTTCAGCTACTTTTTAAAAGCTACTTCTAAACAAACTGTATGTTGTTGTGCTTTTCATTTCCCCTTCTGTTCYTTTTGACTTGTTTCTTCTACTTTTAGCTTCTTTTTTGTTCTTTTCAGATTTTTTACTCTTTTTTTATTGATTTATTTATTTATTTTTAATTTTTGTTGTCCTGCTTAAAGCTAAATTCAGCTGTACAGTTGAACTCTCAGCAGTTTTACTATAAAGTTTCAGCAGCTTTCAGCAAAGCGTTCCCTGTGCAGTTTGTGTAGTAGAAGTGTTGTGTAGTTGTAGTAGGCTCCCAGTGAGTCTGAATAAATGTGTCTTTGATTTATTTTGGATTGTTTCGTGTCCTTTCCACAGTCGAGGACACTGTGTGTCACCATGTTGGACTTGGTGACTGATTTGGTTGAACAGTGAACTTTAAACCAGTTAAACAAAGTTCAAGTTTCACAGATGATTTATTTACACAGAGTGCAGTTGTTTCTGTGTTTTACTGAAAATAGATCAAAGAAAGAGGAGCTGTCCCTGCATTCATTTACATTTAACAAGATAAAAGAGATTCTTTAGTTTAATTTCTGAACAGAGAAACTTGTTTTTATTAAAGAGTTTAATCTGACAGATTACACTGCAAAAACTGTCCACCTAACCAAGATTTAAAACCTTAAATCAGCCATTTTCAGACTGATTTACTAAACAAGAACTGATTGTGTAAGAATAATCATCTTGTTTTCAGAATGTGTAAGATTATTTGTCTTGTTAGTCTGAAAATTTGARTCWAATTAAGTCAAACATTTCTGCCAGTGGAGTAAGAACATTTTACTTGTAAGATTCTTGAAATACTTGATTTGACAATTTTTTTTATTTCAAGAATCTTACCAAGTAAAAAACCAACAAAGCTGCTCCATCATGCCAACAGCTGCCATGCAGAACCCAGCAGAACCCAGCAGAACCCAGCAGAACTCTCCATGTTACTTCCTGTTGTGTGCTGCCTCTCACCTGGGAATCATTAGTTCTTCAGGCTTGTTGAAGGTTTTTCAGTTTCTTCACAGCTCTACAGTCGATCCTTTCAGTTCAGACACTTTTTAAAAACCAAACTTTATAATATTTTTATAGAAGAGGAAACTTTATGTTTATGTTTGAGTGAGTTTTGATTTTTATGAAAGTGAAAATGTAAAGAAGTGAGGAGCAGTGGATCCAGCCTGTCTCAACTGTCCACGCAGCAGGAATGTTTTTATTAGTTAATTTATTTTCCTCCACACCCTCTCTGGACACTTATTAGCTGTCAGACATGAAGACCACAGCCTGAGTCTCTGACCACCAGCATTCCTCCACAGCCACAGATCTGCTGCTTCCAGGAGCTTCAGATGACATCACCTCAGTGAGACATGTTGATGTCATCGCCTCAGTGAGACATGTTGATGTCATCGCCTCAGTGAGACATGTTGATGTCATCGCCTCAGTGAGACGTGTTGATGACATCACCTCAGTGAGACGTGTTGATGACATCACCTCAGTGAGACGTGTTGATGACATCACCTCAGTGAGACGTGTTGATGACATCACCTCAGTGAGACGTGTTGACATCACCTCAGTGAGGCGTGTTGATGACATCACCTCAGTGAGACGTGTAGACGACATCACCTCAGTGAGACGTGTAGACGACATCACCTCAGTGAGACGTGTAGACGACATCACCTCAGTGAGACGTGTAGACGACATCACCTCAGTGA